CGAATGATAAAATGCAACGGACCCGGCTTTAATAACAGGCTTCGACCTCGACTTGGATCGGGTTCGATTTAACCGAAGATAAATGTTTGATCACAAAAAATACCAAGCTTACGAGCTCGGCTTGGACGGAATGATGACCTTTAAGATGAGCTGGATTTTGCTGAGCAGGAGACTTGCAAGAGAAAACACTCCAAAGCCCAAGTGAGGAAGAATCCGAGTTGTATTCAAGGGAAAAACAATGTTCGCGTACTTTAGATAGAAGCAAATGATTTCTATATATAGGCACCCGACCAGGCCTCAACGGCTCTTTAAGGTAAGTAAGAATTACGGCGTGTTGTCGTGGAGTTTGTTAAAATATGTGGCTAAGCAAGACACTACTAGGTCGGTTCAAACAAAGAATGGGAACGAGACCAAAGGAGACATGGTTGGCTCGGCCATAACGGGCGTTGGCTCGGTAGACAGTGGAAGTACCGAGGTGATAAAATTTTCCTCTTCTAATAAGGATATGCCACCTAAATGTAGGGTTTAGAGTTTCTTTTAAACTTGCTAAGTACATGAGATATGCACTTGACACATGATGATAAGACTAACACCACGTGTTTATACTAATGCGAACTTCCAATGGCAATATGGAGTACTTATCGTAGCGAAATTCTGACATCCGAGCGAGAGGTTAGACCAATCCAATTCATCATAACAAAACAACACTACACTACGTAGGTACTTGTGCAGGTGAGGCACTGGTTGGTCCTAGAAACGCCCGTAGTGACGTGAGGAGTCAACGACTGGAATGCCCAAAGATCATAAAGTATGGGATAGGAATGGATGCGGTGGAATGTTGTACTTATATTAAATTGCGTCTCATTATAAATGAAAGAGCTCCTACCAGAAATAACAAATGAAGATTGGGTACCCTATCGCTAACAATTGAGTGTGGCTTATAAACTAGTTCTAACTCTAAAGGTCGAGGAAAAGCTAAAGGGATCCGCAGGAGGCTCCACGGGAAGTTGCTGCGCGACCTCTAGTGCAACTATCTTATGATGGATGTGTGTATCTACAAATGTGTATTGCCCCAATGTCATGAATGATGCTCCATTTTATTTCGCATTTATTTTTATCACTTGAAAGTGTGTGACAGCATATGATCTGTTTTTTATTTAGCTTAACCAATGAATTTGATCTTCAATGCATGATGTCATCATGTATATGCTTATTGAAAGCTAGAATGCAACATGTATGCATGATACTAATTTTTGTTCTGAGAATGAAATGTGATTATGAATGCACAATGCATGATACTTAAAATTTCATAATCTAACTATGATATGAAAACTTTTTTTTTTTAAGAATATGTATGCAAGTGATGTGAATGCATGATTTGTAAAAATATGGTTGAGAGAAAAAGAAGTTTTTCCATATTTTGCAAAGATATTACTTTTTTGTATATTCTC